TGGCTGATATGTAGAACTGAATGGTATTGTAAAATAAAATAAAATTAAAAAAAAAAAATGAACTAGGGAAAAAAAGAAAAAGAAAGAAAAGAAAATGAATTCCAGTACAGCCAGGGCCACACAGGGAAACCCTGTCTCAAAAACAAAAACAAGCCGGGCGGTGGTGGCGCCTTTAATCCCAGCACTTGGGAGGCAGAGGCAGGCGGATCTCTGTGAGTTTGAGGCCAGCCTGGGCTATAGCGTGAGTTCCAGGAAAGGTGCAAAGCTACACAGAGAAATCCTGTCTCGAAAAAAACAACAAAACAAAACAAACAAAGAAGTTCAGATCTTTGGCTTTGAGTTTAAGCCACCCTGGGAAACATGAGACTGTCTCAAAAAAAAAAAAAGTGCAAGGGGCCAGAGAGATGGCAACGCTAGTTCCAAGGAGCCAGTGCTCTCTTCCGACCTTCAAGGGGTACATGGTACACATACTTGCAAACAGGCAGAATACTCATACACATATGTAAAAATAAATATTTTTAAGAGCAAGGATATCAAAAGGAAATTGAAAAATAAACTGAATAAAAATGAAAATAATGACATTTGGAAGTTTGTGAGTTGCTAGGCATAGTGGCATGTGACCTGTAATGCTAAGCACCCTGAGGCTGAGAAGGAAAGATGTTTGAGATATCAGCATGAGCTGCATATTAGTAAAACCCATCTTAATAATCAGTATTTCTGCTGGGCTAGTGGTGGCGCATGCTTTAGTACCAGCATTCTTGGAGGCAGAAGCAGGCAGATCTCTGTGAGTTCAAGGCCAGCCAGGGCTACACAGAGAAACCCTGTCTTGAAAAAAACAAACCAAAAAACCCCTGTATTTCTTTTCCAGAGTCTCAAACTTGTTGCTTGGGCTTTAGCGGCATGATCAATTCAGAGACTGCCATTAGCAATCACAGTAGCCTCCATAAAGTACCAATGTCAAACTCAAGTAAAAGTAAAAAGAAAAGAATCAAAGACAGGGGTGGGGTGGGGTGGGGTGGGAGGGGGTGGTGGTAAAAATAGAGTGGGAAGGTAGTAATTGCCTCTCCTAGCTGTAAATTGATAGCTGTTGGAAGTGGAAGGTGATAAAGGTAAAAAGTGGTTGAGAAATGCATTTAGTAATGTACCACCTTGAATTGTTCAAGTTTCTAAAGCATTGATTCAGTGAATAAAAATTTATAAATTACTTGATAGTTTCTTAAATTTTTGAGAGATACTTCAGTAGTCGTAGCCTTTAAAAGGTTGGAATGCTTGGAGATTACCAGTCTGTATGCTAAAATAAGCTAAACGTGATCCTTTTTGCATTGTGTATAACTCAGGACACTTAGATGTGGCTTGTGGGATACAGCCTAATAGTTGAACCATTTCAGTTTATTGTTTACCTACAATCAGGGGCATTTCTTTAGTGGTGGCGCTCTCTAGCTTGCAGGTGTCTCAAGGTTTGATTACCTGGCATGCCTTCTCAGCCTATACCAAGGATCTTCAAGCCAGATAGGGGTAGGGATGTAGCAGAGGAGGCAGAGTGCCTACCTATGATGCATTAACCCTGGGCTCAATAATTGGCTTTGCGTTTATCAGACATAGTGACCTACACATGCGGTGCCAAGTAAAGGCAGGAGGGTCAGAAATTTGAGGTCATTCTAGACTCCATATCTAGTTTGAAGCCAGCCTGGACTACACAAGAGTCTCTCAAAAATGGGGTAAATGTATCATACATTATAGCACCAAAAAATAGAAATTTAAGTAAATATAATAGGCATTTAAGCCAGGTATGGTGATACAGCATACCCATACTTTCAGCTCTTGGGGGCTGAAGCAGGAAGATGACAAGTTTGAGGCCAGTCTAAACTGTATAGAGACTACTTCAAACAAAAAAAAAATAGATTTAAACAATGGCTTATGGTAAACAGTTTTTATGATTATTTTGATGATTTACAATTTTTTTTTTATGTATGTAGCAATGAAAACGTCTGGTTGTAACCTAGATAAAGTAAACATTCTTCCTAATGCCCTGATCACTCCACTCATGTCAAGCAGTATGATTAAGACTGAAGATGTTACTCCAATGGAAGTAACAGCAGAGAAAAGATCTTCCCCTATTTTTCAGGTGAGTTATATTAACTAGTACTCCATATCTTTTTTTTTAAGATGTATTTTTTTATTATTATTATATTATTATATTTATATATATTATTATGTATTATTAATATATATTATATTATATTATTATTTATATTATATTATTATTATTTATTATTATTATTACAGCATGTATGACTACAGGCCAGAAGAGGGCACCAGATCCCATTATAGATGGTTCTGAGCTACCATGTGGTTGCTAGGAATTAAATTCTGCTCTTCAGAGCAAATGCTTTATATGTCAGTAAAATTGTTTGCAAAGTAACTTCCAATATACATTTTGACAAGAGGAGGAATTAATACCTGTGAGATGAGGGACTTTTATAAAGGTATTGTAAGTTGGTCTTGGGGCTTAAGGTACCAAGGCTCTAAGTTCAAGGCCAACCTGGCTACATAGAAAGACCCCGCCCCCAAAATTGATTGATTTTAGCATTTTCAGAGGTAGAAGCATTTTGATTATGGTTTCTTCTCTACTATCTTTTTAATTCCCCCTTTCAATTGTTTTTCCCCATTGCAATGTTACTGATGATCCACAATATGGAACTGTTTTAAACTTGATTACACACAAACCATAGGATTAATAGGATTAACGTTCTCTTATTATTCTTAATCTTGTTAAACATACCAAAAACTGATTTTGATACTGAATGTCAGACATTAATTATGTCATAGAAAATCAGTCTTAATAACAACTTCTAGTTGTTAGTGTAGAGTAGAAAATTTATTCTGTGTGCATTTGTAGAAACAATTTTTGAAGTAATAAATGTGATTACTTAATGTTTATATGTACATATTGTTTGTGACTTTTTCAGACTACAAAGACAATTGGTTCGACTCAGCAAGCTTTAGAAACTATTCCTAACATAGCAGGAAATGCATCTTTTTCGTCACCATCCTCTTCACACTTACCTTCTGAAAATGAAAGTCAGCAGCAGCTTCAGCCCAAGGCATACAACCCAGAGACCCTGACAACTATCCAAACACAGGATATCTCACAGCCTGGGACTTTTCCAGCAGTTTCTGCTTCTAGTCAGCTGCCCAGCAATGATGCACTACTGCAGCAGGCTACACAGTTTCAGACAAGAGAAGCTCAGTCCCGAGATACATTACAGTCAGATGGCACCGTGGTTAATTTGTCACAGTTGACTGAGGCATCGCAGCAGCAGCAGCAGCAGCAGTCCCCGCTGCAAGAACAAGCACAGACGTTACAGCAGCAGATCTCATCAAATATTTTTCCACCGCCAAATAGTGTGAGCCAGCTCCAGAGTACCATTCAACATCTGCAAGCAGGAAGTTTTACAGGGGGCACTGCTGGTGGCAGCAGTGGAAGTGTTGACTTGGTCCAGCAGGTTTTAGAGGCACAACAGCAGTTATCTTCTGTGCTGTTTTCTGCTCCAGATGGTAATGAGAATGTCCAAGAACAGCTTAATGCAGACATTTTCCAAGTCAGTCAAATTCAAGGTAGTGTAAGCCCTGGAATGTTTTCCTCAACAGAGCCTGTAGTTCACACCAGACCAGATAACTTACTACCTGGGAGGGCTGACAGTGTCCATCAACCGACTGAAAACACACTGTCTAATCAGCAACAGCAGCAACAGCAGCAGCAGCAGCAACAACAGCAAGTGATGGAGTCATCGGCTGCAATGGTGATGGAGATGCAGCAGAGCATTTGCCAAGCAGCTGCCGAACTGTTTCCTTCAGCTGCTTCAGCAAATGGAAGCCTTCAGCAGTCTCCAGTTTACCAGCAGCCTTCTCACATGATGGGTGCACTGCCTACCAACGAGGACATGCAAATGCAGTGTGAGTTGTTCTCTTCTTCCCCTGCAGTTTCTGGAAATGAAACTTCCACAACCACCACGCCACAGGTTACAACCCCTGGCTCCACTATGTTTCAGGCACCAAGTTCAGGAGATGGAGAAGAAACTGGAGCACAGGCGAAACAAATTCAGAACAGTGTCTTTCAGACCATGGTTCAAATGCAGCACAGTGGAGACAGCCAACCTCAAGTAAACCTCTTTTCATCTACAAAAAATATAATGAGTGTTCAGAATAGTGGTACCCAGCAACAAGGGAATAGCTTGTTCCAGCAAGGGAATGAGATGATATCGCTTCAGTCTGGGAACTTTTTGCAGCAGTCTTCTCATTCACAGGCTCAACTCTTTCATCCTCAAAATCCTATTGCTGATGCTCAGAACCTTTCCCAGGAAACTCAAGGTTCAATTTTTCACAGTCCAAATCCTATTGTCCACAGTCAGACTTCCACAGCATCCTCTGAACAATTGCAGCCTTCAATGTTTCACTCACAGAATACCATCACTGTATTACAAGGCTCTTCAGTTCCACAAGACCAGCAATCACCCAACATATTTCTTTCCCAAAGTTCTATGAATAATCTACAAACTAATACGGTAGCCCAAGAAGAACAGATTTCATTTTTTGCAGCACAGAACTCAATTTCTCCACTTCAGTCAACATCAAACACTGAGCAGCAAGCTGCTTTTCAACAGCAGCCTCCAATTTCACACATCTCAACCCCTATTCTTTCCCAGGAACAGGCACAATCCACTCAGCAAGGTTTATTTCAGCCTCAGGTGGCCCTTGGCTCCCTTCCATCTAATCCAATGCCTCAAAGCCAGCAAGGAGCAATTTTCCAAACACAGCGCTCAATCGTTGGCATGCAGAGTAACTCTCCATCTCAGGAGCAGCAGCAACAGCAGCAGCAGCAGCAGCAGCAACAACAACAACAGCAGCAGCAGCAGCAGCAGCAGCAGCAGCAGAGCATTTTATTCAATAATCAGAATGCCATGGCTACAATGGCATCTCAGAAGCAGCCACCACCAAACATGATATTTAGCCCAAACCAAAACCCAATGGCTAGTCAGGAGCAGCAAAACCAGTCAATTTTTCACCAGCAAAGTAATATGGCCCCAATGAACCAAGATCAGCAGCCCATGCAATTTCAGAATCAGCCTACAGTTTCTTCACTTCAGAACCCAGGTCCTACGCAGTCTGAGTCACCACAGACCTCCTTGTTTCATAGTTCTCCTCAGATCCAGTTGGTACAAGGGTCACCTAGTTCTCAAGAGCAGCAAGTAACACTCTTCCTCTCTCCGGCATCCATGTCGGCACTGCAGACCAGTATAAACCAACAGGACATGCAACAGTCTCCTCTCTATTCTCCTCAGAACAACATACCTGGAATCCAAGGAGCCACTTCTTCACCCCAGTCACAGGCTACTTTATTTCACAACACTACAGGAGGCACAATGAACCAACTACAAAATTCTCCTGGCTCATCTCAACAGACTTCGGGAATGTTCTTATTTGGCATTCAAAATAGTAAGAAACAAATTTCTCAGTACTCAGTTGAGATGTTCAGATTATTATAAGGAAGCACAAAGCACAGTATTTTAAGAGCAGAGTAGAATTCCACCAACTGAAAACTGAGGTCTCCATGGACCTAAATTTCCATATTTTCAAAAGTGATCATTTTAGACTAGTCATGATGGTACATGCCTATAGTCCTAGCCTTTCAGAGGTAGAGACAGGAAGATCAGTAATTCAAAATCATCTGGCTTGGTAGTGTGTTTGAGGACAGCCTAGGATACGTGATACCTTGTCTCAGAAACAGAAACCAAAAAAGGCGATAATTTTTTATACCTCACAAAGATATTAGGAGGGGTAAATGTGGTGTATAAAAATACATTTGCCATTTTAAGCTATTAATTTGAAAGGAAAATGAAATAAGGACAGATAATATCTCAGCCAATTAATTTTTTTAAAAGAGATAGGTAGACACCCGTTTTTCACGTTATGTCAAGTAATTACATAGGACTTGGATGATACCTAAGTAGTATTATTTTTATTTATTTAGAATTAGGTTCTTACTAGCTGTGGTTATGCTGGAACTCACTGTGTAGGCCAGGCTGGCCTTGAACCTAAAAGTTTACCTGCACTGCTTCCCAAATGCTGAGATTAAAGGTGTGCTCCACCACACCCAGCCTAAGTAGTAATTTTATATAAATTAGAGGAATCCCAAGATAAACTCCAGTGTCATCCTGTGAAAACCATTTTCTTAGGCTTAAGTAATGTACTAGATCAGCATAGGAGTGGATTTCCTCTGTCAACTAAAAGGTATTTTTTCATGAATCTTACCTAATCAGATGTTTCTGATATCATTGTCTCTATAGATTGCAGTCAGCTTTTAACCTCTGGACCAGGTACCTTGCCAGATCAGCTGATGGCCATAAATCAGCCAGGCCAGACACAAAATGAGGGCCAGGCTTCTGTGACAACACTTCTTTCTCAGCAAATGCCAGAGACTTCCCCACTGGCCTCCTCTGTGAACAGCAGTCAGAGCATGGAGAAGATCGATTTGCTTGTTTCATTGCAAAGCCAAGGGAACAATTTAACTGGCTCATTTTAATGAGATGCGTAAGTATTACATTTTGGCTTCTTAGTGAAAAGCATTAATTTGTTCATAACAGATTTGGGTTAATAGCATTGCTTAGACTTTACCCTTTTAAAATAGGACATTACTTTGAGCACATCACTCTGAATGATAGCTTAAGTCATGTAGGAAATACTGGGCATTCCTTCTGGCTGGAAGCTTCTTTGCTTTAGAATATCCAGCTAGCACAAGGCCCTAGACTCAATCATAGTAGAGAAAAGAGAGTAAGACAGAGGAAATCCTATAGAATAATAATAAGCTGGGTATATCTAAGTTGGGCACTTGCCTAGCATACTTGAGACCATAGGTTCAATACCCAGCACCACCAAAAAAATAAGAGAGACTGAAGATGATAGATAAGGTTCCCCTATATACACGGTGTCCTTTGGGGTCATTTAAGAGGTGACAAGACACTTCACAAATGCCTTTCTTCCCTAGTGAAATAGTGATTTTTTTTTCCCCACAGAAATTCCATGAAGAAAGTAATGATGATTCCAAGATGTCCTGAGAAATTGTGGTTCTATGAAGATCATTGAACTGTTGTAAAGAACTATATTGGAGTAAATGGGTAGATTTCCTGACTGTGAGAACATACCCATGCTGCCTGTTGCAGTAATTCGCCACCAATGTGCTTTTTGTTTCTAGTAACAGTGATGACTGAGAATCTGTTTGATTTTTCCAGCTGACAGAATTGTTGCTTTTGTCCTAGTTTTTTAAATGCAAGGCTGGGCCTCTCAGTTATTATTGCTATTAGAAAATCATATTTGTTATGTTTACTTACATTCTTATTTTCTTTCCTACATTATTTTAGTCAAGTAATGGCTTAGGACAAAGTAAAGTTTAGTAATGACTAAGGCTGTGATTTTTGTTGATGTAAAAAGCATGGATGTTGGCCAAAGTGAAGGAGTTTCTTTCAGTTTTCATGGAGAAACTGAAGGTATAACTTACAAAAAAGCTGTATTGAGAACTCTGCAGATAAAAGGACTCCTCATCACATACATGCAGATGGCATGCTTTCAAACTGGGTACAGCTGGAATGTTACTGAGGTCATTTTTAGAGAGTTGTTAGTTCTGTATTTCTACTAAGGGATTTAGCCATAACTGCATACAAATACTTTGTTCTATGAAAATGAAGGGAGTAATATATGACATTATGTTCTCATATTCACCTTCAGTAGTTTAAACTGACAGAGTCATTTGAGTCTGTTTTCTTCTTACCCAGCGTTAGGCTAGTGTTCCCACTTTATATGCATCTGTATCGTTTTCCCCTTCAGTTTTAGACAGCTGTTAATGTACCCCTGGCTTTATGACCCTGTAGTAATTTAGAGAAGGCAGCCACATTGATCCAGTGACCTGGCAGTCTGCGGCACTGGGCCAGGAATACTCTTAGGAATTATTGGGAATTGATTCCTGAGAAAAAAACAATTCTCTCTTTCTCTCTTTTTTTTTCTTCCATGAACGGTGCTGTTCTGAAGTCTTCAAATTTTTCCCTCTAATGAAAAAACAGTATAAAATTTCACTTTACAAATGAGGCAAGCAAACATTTCTCAAACTAATACTTCTCCCTGAGCTGCAGTGACGATAATTCACTTGTCACCTCAGTGCTTTACAGTTGAAGTGGTCACTTAATTGATGGGTCCCACAAGCCTTGGGCTTTACAGGGTCACACCATTGATTTAAAAGGAAGAGTTAACTTACGTTACAGCTACAGAGAGCAAAATTACACACTCCAGAACTTGCATTTGTAGCATTAGTTGTAGAGTTTTGGGTGTTCTTGCCACCTGTGTGGTGCCTGCTTCTCACTCCCACCTACATCTGGACACGTGCTTATGTCTCATTTATCTCTGGCATGTGGAAAGTGTCAATGCAGCATAAGGCCAACATGTGTGGCTTGTGTGTGTTGATATGTTTTGGTATCCTGTTTGTTTCTTTTACTTACTTTAAGTGTCTAAAATTAGCCAGTTTGTAGTTTCTTTTCCTTAGCCTTAGATTTCTTTCCATTTTTTTCTCTCCCTGTCCTACACAATTGTTGAACTGTGTGGAGCTGTGGTGTTGGTTTTGTTCATATGGTCAGATTCCCCCTTTTGTGATCTTCCTTTGTTCTTTGACTATTGTTCTTGTCATTTGCTTTCTCTTTGTTCTTCTTCCTCTGCCCTGACCCTTCCTTTCTCTCTCTGAGAGGCATTGGATTACGTTTTCAGTAGTACAGGCTTCTTGCCGATATGAAGGGAACTTTCCAGAAAGAGACCTACTCTGGTCATTTAATTTTGAAAACAGTTTTCAATCGTTCAAGTTTTGGATGGTTTATATCTAATGTGTGTTTCATTTTTTTGGAAAGCTATATTTTATATTTAGGAAATGGTATACTATTTTGCTATTTGTACTGAGTGAGTACATTGGCATAAATATAGAAATTTATATATATATATATATATATATACATATATAAACTATTCTTTTTGCCACACATTTTTGTGGTAAATTTGTGAGTTTGTCTGATGTTCTACCACAACGTGGCGTCTGATAACAGTGAGGGGTTTGTTATGTCTTTATTGAGTATTTAAGTACCTTTTGAAACAAATGGCCTGTTTATCTGTAGCCATTCCATCAGGCAGTTCCTTGATGTTACTAGTGAGCTAAAGGCAATACTGTGTGTTTGCTGGATCTCCACTCAGCAAGGTGTTAAAGAGCAAGGAATCTTCTGAGCTAGTGTCAAATGGTGTTTGACAAGAATGAGCCACTCTGTCTTTGTTCACTATATATTTAATATTTTATTGTTGTTGTTGTTATTAATTGGCTTTCTGTATCCTATGCCTTTTATTTATAAAGACACTAAAAATACCATGTTTGTAATTTTAATAACATTTTCCCATCTTTTAATATCCAGAACTACTTTATAAATTCTCTAAACCAAAAGTATTTTCCTCAATGTCTCCCTTCTCCCCCACTCCCTACAGGGAAGAATCACCCAGCATAGTTCAGGTTACGAGAAGAGTCAGCCACACAATTCAGTGCTTCAGCTTTCAGATGTACAACAGACACTAGCGTGTTGTCTGGAGCATCATGGAAAGCAGACCTAGCAGGTCTTAGAAGAGACAGGAGTCAGCGTTTAAAACTACATTTATTTCTGAGTTTTCTGAGTTACTTTCTGAGATCATGTAGGAGACTCAGGAAATCTGTTTGTTCACCAAGATCAAATTAAAATGTTACTACCACACCATGGATGAAGTGCAGCAAGAAGTCTGGCTTGTGTGGTGACTTCTGTTTGTTCTGTACTAGAAGCTTATCCTTATAAAATGCTGATTGGCAATGCCAAGTCACTGGGACCAATTTCTGTTTTATAATGTCTGAGTTTAGAACAGAACATCACCTGAACTGTAGTGGTTTGAGTGGATGGAGGCAAAACCCCTCATTTTTAGTCTCATCACTTCTGTGGTTATTTATACAAGGGCTGTGCTGTGCTACCATATTCCTGTTCAATAATGATGGAAGTTTATTTGTTTTCTTACATTGTTAAATGTTCCTTGCCCCTAAAGGTCCGTGTTAAGTACAATGTTCTGAATATATGATTTGGTTACAAGAAGTCTTTGTCTTCTTATTGAAGAGTTAGCTCAGTGGTTGATACTTGTGCTAAGAATGCAGCTTCTCAGTTCCTGTTACAGTTACAACTGCCTGTGGGAAGACTCAGTGAGCCAGTAAAGACCTTGGGAATCAGGACTTATTAAATTTATATCTGGCAGAAGGACCTAAATAAACTGTGAACTACATTTTATTCCTTTGTTACATTCAGTTCTTGCTTTCAGCAACTCATAGAAATGCTTGGAGCTTATCTCTCTCTATCTCTCTCTCTCTCTTTTTCTGTGGGTGAGCATGCGTGCATGCATGTATGTGTGCTTGTTATTCCTTATTGTCATTCCACACCAGGGAGCAGACAATTAGATCGTTTGTTTTGAGACAGAGTTTCTCTGTGTAGCCCTGGCTGTCCTAGAATTCACTCTGTAGACCAGGCTGGCCTTGAACTCAAAGAGATCCGCCTGCCTCTGCCTCCTGAGTGCTGGGATTAAAGGTGTGTGCCACCACTGCCCAGCTTAGATAATTTGTTCCTAAAATTTGCTATAGGCTTTTCTAATTCTAACATCATGTTATTTATTTAGCCAATTTTGGTGTGTCTACCCTGTCTTCTTAGAACAAGTGTTTAAAGGGCTTTGTTTATTATCAAAGCAGTATTAATGAGAGGCCTCTTTCCCTCCCTCCCATTCTCCCATCCTTCCTTGCCCCCCACCTTTATATAATATTGTAAGTTATAGTTTAGAATCTCATTATCATAGGTTTATTGCCTACCAGAGTTTTAGCTAATATACCCAGAAAAAAATAGAAGGAAGAAATTGTGCACATGTCCCTTTAGAATGAAAATAATTCCTTTTGACCTTTTTGAATGTTTGTTTTTATTTGTTTTCAATGAAGTTGCACTATGCTGCCCAAGTACTGGGCCTGGAGGGATGAAAGCAAGCACCTTCCCTGGGTCCCTTTGGCCTTTTTAAGCCATTGTAAATGTTTGTTTGCAAAAAATGGAATCTGTCAGCAAATTAGAACCACAGTGAAAAATGACTGACTGATTCCTAAACTCAGCATAGTTGTACATATTCTCAGGGGTTAGCCTGAGAATTTTCCTAGTAAAATTTTCTGTTATCCCTGTTTCCTGATTTTTAATTAGTTAAAAGTTATGGGAGACCTTGCAGCTTCACTCTGCATCTGGAGCATAGGTTCCTTCTCTAATCAAGATTTCCTTTTTATAGCTGCATGCTTTTGGTTATGTGGAGGGACTCAATGAAAAAGAAAAATTAATTCAGCATATGTATTAGAGAAGTAATTCAGGCCTAGGGGTGTGGTTCAGGGGTACAGAGTTTACATCTCTTGTGTAAAGCCCTGAATTTGATCCCTAGCACCACCAAAAGGGAGAGAAAAAGGACCTGGGTATACACACTAGCAAGAGGATGAGCACTGCTCCATCACACACTGAGAGCTTTCCCTGTCTGCCTGCTTTTGTTACTAGAGCTAAACTGTGGAGGTGGCATTCATGATGCAGGAGATTGACTCTCTACAGTGTCATTAGTAAATTGTCCTGATGCCCTCATTACTTTTGAACTCTGTTTTCATGCCATTCTAAGCCTTGTATATTAATAAAATTCTGTTTTTAATGCTCTTGTTCTTTCAGGCAACTTTTTACATTAGTATTTTATATAGAGATTACATGTGTATGGAAAAGTGCCTTTTTTTTACCATGCCAGTGTACCCTTCTTATAATTCCACCTTCCACTGTTGCCAGAAATGTATGAACAACTGGTTTTAACAGGTCCCAACCTAGACTTTTTCATTTGGCCATTCTTTTCTCCATTTCTTGGTCACAATAGAAGAAAACTTTGTTAGTTCCTTTGACTTGAAAATAACAGAGAAAGTGCTTTGGCAGAATTGCTTGGAGAGTAAGTGTATGCTGTTGAGGCTTACACGAATCAACTCTTTTTTTTTTTTTTTTTTTTTTTGGTTTTTCGAGACAGGGTTTCTCTGTGTAGCTTTGCGCCTTTCCTGGAGCTCACTTGGTAGCCCAGGCTGGCCTCGAACTCACAGAGATCCGCCTGGCTCTGCCTCCCGAGTGCTGGGATTAAAGGCGTGCGCCACCACCGCCTGGCTACGAATCAACTCTTAAATTTTCTCATCCCAACCAATTAGAGCTGGGTCTTATTAGAGCAGTAATGAAAATTTGGCTGTGTGCAAGATTCCATGCACACAAGTGTTTGTTAAATGTTATGAAGATACTGCTCATAGCATCTTCTCTGGTCCTAATTAGCTGGGTGAAAAGCAGTCATTAAAACATAGGTTTTGTAAGGCCTGGGGGTAATGTTGATTCTTTTTTTTTTTTTTTAATTAAACATGACAAAGTAGTTTATTATATTTCTTTTCTATCAGAACTTTAGTTAATGGGCCTTGGAAAGCTTAGTATCAGAAAAAAAGTTAGGAAGAAGCCATTTGAGTTCTGGGAGAGCTAAGGTAATTTCTTTAGTGTTAGATGCAGTTGGATTGAGTGTCCTGGTTTTGTCCATTTTGTTGCTGTTCTAGCTCCGTATCAAATGGTGGTACCTGAAGAAAGGGCCGTCAGCCACAAACTAAGGACAGTGGTAACTTAAACACTGGAGTGGAGCTATGTTTTCCATGGAAGTACTTTTGTGACCGTTGGACGGAAGATGGCAAACTTTTATGCAATATTCTTAATACCCTATTGTGCACTTTAATCATTCCAAATTCAGAGTACTGCATCCATTTTTATTTTGGATAGCTGGCTTGGTGTGTTTGACTGCTTTTTAAAGTAACTCGGAATAAGTGTGAAGTTGCTATTTTCTAAAGGACTTTTAAGACTTGGAAAGGTAGTGGAAGGAAATGCCTACACTGTAGCAGATCATTTTAGAATAGTAAAGTGATTACTGGCTGATGAGTGCATTGGAGAGCTACTTAGAACCATTCCCTTTCTTGTGTGTTTTATGTACCTTATAGAAGAACGCTACAATGTATAGTTTCTATCTGTGGTTTATGTTAACCAATATGGTCCTCCACCCCGGCAGCTAGCATCAGTATGAGCAGGAAACTAGTTAGAGGTGTGCATTCTTGGGCAATAGCCCAGCCTTGCTGAATTAATCTGAAGTTGGGCCCAGCAATCTGTCTGACCCAAGCCCTCAGGTGAGTCCAATGCACCTGAGTTTCATAGCTTAGCGAAAGTAAGAGACTTTCACTCTTAGAGATTCCTTCTTTACATATATTCAGCCTTACCTAGTAATCTGTGATCATTTATCAACAATGGTGATTTATTCTCAGTACTGCATAAGAAATGCATATGTCTTATGTGTATACAGTGTAGTTGCTAATAATTAATTTAACTTAGTTTGGCATTTTCCTACCACTGACTAAAAAGTTTACATTAACTGACTGATTTCAATATATAGGTGCAATGTTCTGTATTTCTTTAATTGGTGTGACATTTACTTAGCTAAAATAATTGATGGGTGCTACAGTTTCCTGTTTATGCATAATATGGGTACATTGTGGGCAGTGTAATACAAGCTTTCTCTTCATTTCCTCTTACTTTACCAGCAGACCACGGTTTTGCTCTGGCTGGACCAGCTCTCAGAACAGAATTACCATTCCGTATCATTTTTCTTGTATCTGAGATAGTAAATCAGATGGCTGGCCAGGCCAACATAACACCTCTTAGTTGATTTCTTCTCTTAGTAGATAAGGATTCTTTTCAAGTAGCTTACTTGGCATTTGAATGCTGCAGTAGAGTGATGGTTCTCATTGGAACTCATGCTTCAGGTGAAAAAATACTCAGTAACATAAGACAGTGCATTTTATACCTGGCTATTTTTCCCTTCTCAGTTGTGTGCATCCTTATTAACAAATAAGCAGATTTATTCATATTTTTCCTTTATAATTCAGCACTTCTATCATTAATCTTCCTTCTACTGTTTACAAATCACTGATGAGTTAACTCATGAAAGATTCACTTTTCAGAATAAAACTAAATGAATACTTGCTTTCTGAGAATCACTGCTCTCTGTCCCACACTAGCAGTGCTAAGTGGCTTATTATACAAACTGGTGCTGGAAAGTAAGTAGGCAAACTGTTGGGATGTTCTAGAGATACCCTCTGTAGTACCCCACCCCCACCCCCGCTGGATTACAGCCTCTGTGGCTGGACCCAGAGCATTCTACACAGTTTATGCAAGCCCCAGTTTATAATCCCTCCTTTAAAAATCCTGCATTCAGCCATGTCACCCCTACTTGCTCTTTCATGTCGGTCCTCCCCCAACCTAGAACCCACCCCAGGAGTAATATATGGTTTGTAGGGGTGACCTCAGGACAGCTTACACTCACACATAATCCCAGATGCATGAGAGTGGGGTTAGAATCAAACTTCTGTGATCAATAAAACCTGTCCTGGCTGGAGTTAGAGCTAGGTAGTTAGAACCCAAGGTGGGTGCAATCCCCAGTACAGAGAGAGAGAGAGACAGAGAAAGAAAAGAAAAAGGAACTGTCCTGCACTGAAGTGATCACAGTTTCACTCCTTAGAGACCTTCTGCAGCGCAATTGAACTAACTCCTTCTATCTGATGACTGCTCACCTTATTTCTTCCAAGGATAAGCTCCAAGGGATTGCCGCTTTGCTGGCAACTTTACTGAGTTTCACGCTTTTCTTTTACTTTGTGTTCTAATGAGTAACTTGGACTATTTCATTAACCTGTTCTCAAGTGATTTAGCTGCCATTCTGCCATTTTGAGTTTTTATTTAATTTTATCTGCTTGAGCACACTGATCAACCACTGACTGCCTTCTTGCATTGTCCTGCAATGATGTAAGAGTGACATTTGTGTATATGACTTCATAGTTGGAATTTCAGAGCACTGACACCAGATATTCTCAGTTTGTTCTCTGGGGGAATTTTCATTTGCATCTATGTTTTTAGCTCTCTGTGATAACTTGTTAAATATTAAAAAGATATTTTGCTTCTATTGGAACATTTGTATACTCGCAATTATATTTCTGTAAACAGCTGCAGTCAAAAATAAAACATTGAAAGTTTTCATTTTGCAGTGTGTTGCCATCTTTTTTCCTCAGACTTTGTGTTGTTGGCCTGAGTATCTGCAGTGGAGAGAAGTGGCTAAGACTTGAGACCATTACAGAGGTGATAGAAAGCAGAGAAACTTTTTTTTTAACTTTATTTAATGTGCATTGGTGTGAAGATGTCAGATCCCAGGGAACTGGAGTTACAGACAGTTGTTAGCTGCCATGTGGGTGCTGAGAATTGAACCTGGGTCCTCTGGAAGAGCAGCCAGTGCTCTTAACCACTGAGCCATCTCTCCAGCCCCAGAGGAACTTTTTGAGTTGTTATTTTGTACCTACCATTTTGCCTGGCAGAATACTCAGTATGTTAGTGTGGCCAGATTTCTCTTTAGTTGTTCATATTGAATATGTGCGTAGATAACACAGAGTCTCTCTATTCTGCTAGTTGCTTCTGCTTGTATGAACTGGTATTTATCACAGTGTGCCAAGTATAGGTAGCTACTGGTAGATCTCTGTGATCTCCCGTGAGATATGCACAGATAGTTCTAAGGGTTCATATGTGAGGGACTCAGCATGTAGCTTATAAGAGTACTCTCTTAGCATGTGCAATTCCCTGGTTTCAGTTCCTAGCATCTCAAAAAAATGTGTCCACTAACCAGATGATGAGGGAAAGGGTGAATCAAAGAAGAACAATAAATTAGTAATATAGGTGATACAAGGGTATTATGAACATAGTATGTAAAGGACAACCTCAGACTGCCTCAGCAGGACATGTGGTACACGCCTTTAATCCCAGCACAGAGGAGGCAGAAGCAGGCACAAGTCCGTGATTTCAAGGCAAGCCAGTAATGTGTATGACAGTAGATGAAGAACTGAGTTGATCCTACCTCCTGAGAAAAAGCTAGATGTGGCATACATCTAACCCCAGCACTGGAGAGACAGCTCTGGGTGCATCCCTAGAGCTCATTCACCAGCCAACCTATCTGAATCTCTGAGCTCCAGGTTCAGTAGAGAACCTAACTAAGGAATTAAGGTGCAGAGCAATCAAAACGGACACCTGAAGTCAACCTCTGCCCTCCACACACAAGCGTAGGTGTACTTGCATGTACACATGCTGAGGACCGTGGGAATATACAGCGGGTGACAACTAGTATTCAACAGGTTGACCTACCAGATGAATAACACTCTATTGGGAAACCCCACTAGGCAAAGTCAGAGGGGTCACTGGCTATGGAAACCGGTTGTTTGCTGTCTGTAACTTTCTCATGTGCTACCACAATACCTCCTCCCTAAAAAGAACTTCCACAGCCCATTGGTGGTGTGTTTTACATCTTTTGGGCACATATAACTATGGATGGTCAGGAAGATGATTTCTACTTATGCTTATAATTATAATAATACTAGAATATTTTTCATAACAGACATAGGAAAATTACAAAGAACAGCCTTTTACACATTTAACTAAGACCTTAAGAACAAATTCAAAATAGATGGGCTGCCCCTGCAGAAAATACACAAAGACAAATTCCCCGTGGTTTTTGCTGAATCAAGGTCAGACTTGAAGCAACTTTGGTAGACACAACCCTCTGAAGTAATTGACTTTTTGCACATACTCCCAGCCTCAGTTTGTGTTGTAGGGTTCAGCCAAATAACTGTGATTGTTAAGTCCTGAATGTCACTTTCTGTCTGGGAAAGAGCTGTGTGCATGTCCAAGTGTTACTCACTGGCCAGTCAACATGACCTTCCTAGCCTGAGAGAAACTGAATTTATCATGTGTTATGAGAATGGCTCAGACCCTGAAAATGTAACATATTAATGTCCTGAGTTTGGCGTGGAAAGGGGCCTGTGTAGAGCTGTGTAGAGAGCCACTGTGAAGTGTATGTGTGCAAGTGTGTGTGTGCTGAGTGAGGGATGTAGCTGAATGGGCAGAGAGAAAAGTGTGAGAGATGAAGAAGTGTAAGAAACATAAGAAGTATCGTGAGCCGGGTGGTGGTGGTGGTGGTGGTGGCACACGCCTGTAATCCCAGCACTCGGTAGGCAGAGGCAGGCTGATCTCTGTGAGTTCGAGGCCAGCCTGGTCTACAGCGCTAGTCCAGGACAGGCTCCAAAGCTACAGAGAAACCCTGTCGGCGGGGAGGGGTATTGTGAGAATAGGTGTGAGAATTGGAACTAAGGAGAATTGGAACCAAAGATTTGGAATAGAATTGGAACTAAAGATTTAGAACTACAGAATTAGAACGAGAGGAAAAGAGAAATACCCTCAGATCATGTGTGAATTATTATAGATAAGAAATCTTTCTATTCCCTGCTCTTGAGAAGTCTTTCTCTGAGTAACCCTGGGAGCTGGACTCCCAGACCACTATGTACACATGCACACACAGATGTACAAACACCACACATGTACACATAAAATCAGAGAATGTTAATTTGGCATTAATAAGCTTAAAAGAGCATGGGAAAGGTATAATAACCAAAATGAAAAGGCAGCTGGAAGGATGGCTCAGCATTAAGAACATCTGCTGCTTTGCAGAGGGACCTAAATTTGGTTCCCAGCACCCATATCAGCTCACAACTGCCAGTGACTCTGAACGGCACGCTTTTTGTCCTGACTGCCCGGTCCCAAATAAATACACAGAGGCTTATATATTAATTACAGAGTGCTTGGCCAGTAGCTCAGGCTTATTACTAACTAACTCTTGCATTTAAATTAACCCATTTCTATTAATCTATGTATTGCCATGTGGCCCATGGCTTTACTGGTTCTCTAGCATCTTGCTTCTTGGGCAGCTCAATGACATCTCTCCCAACTCTGCCCTTCTTCATCCCAGTCCTCAGTTTGATTGTCCCACCTAACTTTATCCTGCCTTGCTATAGGCCAAACAGCTTTATTATTAGCCAATGGGAATAATACATTCACAGTGTACAGAAGGATTATCTCAGAGCAAGTGACTCCAACTCCATGAGATCAGACAACCTCTTCTGGCCTCTGCAGGCACCTCCATGTGTATGTTTATACACATGCATATGCACATATAGTTATAAATATAATTAGTCTTTCAAAAACAAGACTCATTGTCTCATAAGCCTGACAACCCGAGTTCAATCCCCAGAACCCAGAAAAAGATGGAAATTAAGGACTGACTTTGTCAAGTTGTCCTCTGACCGCCACAAAATCACCATGGCATGCATGAATGCACAAAACACAAATCAACGTAAAAATAAAAACAAAGGCTCTTAAGTTTGGTCCTGTGTGGAGCCTTGACTCCCCATACTTCACTGTACAACCATTTACCAATTTGTTTTTCTGTAAAAGAGACTGTCCCTTTAGGGCTGTCACCGGAGTTAAGCCAGGTGATATGTATTAGTTAACTTAGTTCCTGGTTCACAGTAAATACACAATATTAACATTAATAGTCCTGATGCCACCCTGTTCTATTGTCTCATATGCTAGGTACCTTTTCCCTTTACTTTATCGAAAGATCCAGTCTGAGACATGATAATCATACCCATGAACTCACAGCAGCTGAGATTATTTGCACAAGATTAAGTCGGCCAAAGTTCTACCAGAGATGGGGGAGGTACTCTCCAGGCTCACCCCTTACTGTGGTGCTATTAGCAGTTGATAGCTGCTGGGGGAGGGAAGGGGGACCCCCTGGAAGATTTCTCAGGCTCCAGTGGAAGGCCCCACACCCCACACAGATAGCAGTAATTGGACACAAAAACAGAAGACAGGAAGTTGTGAGGGAGGCTTGTTGGAGATGGAGTTGGAAGGGGGAGTTGGGGTGGATATATTTCATCATTATATGTGTGTGAAATCCTCAAGAATAAAATTAACTTTTAAAAAAAATACAGTCTTTTAATTGTCTTTAGCACCAAGGCTCTCTGTTATCCCATTGGTGTGTAAATTTTTTTAAATAGAAGATAAAGAATTCAGGGCAGGAGAGATGGCTCAGAGGTTAAGAGCACTGACTGCTCCTCCAGAGGTCCTGAGTTCAATTCCCAGCAACTACATGGTGGCTCTCAACCATCTGTAACGAGATCTGGTGCCCTCTTCTGGCCTGCAGTCATGCATGCTGTATATATAATAAATAAATAAATCTTAAAAAAAAAAAAGAAGAAGAAGAAGAAAAAGAATTCTGTTGCTGTCATAAAACACCAGACCAAAAGTAACTTGGAGGAGGAAAGGGTTTATTTTGTTCACAGTTCCAGAAGTCAGGGCAAAAACTCAAACAGGACAGGAACCTGGATACGGGAGCTGATGCAGAGACCACAGAGGTGTGCTGTTTACTGGCTTGCTCGTCATGGCTTGCTCAGACTGCTTTCTAACAGAACCCAGGACCACCAGCCCTGAGGTGACCCCACCCACCATGGGCTGGGTGTGCCACATCAGTCATTAACCAAGAAAATGCACCACAGGCTTCCCTCCTGGCCAGTCTGGTGGAATTTTCTCAGGCTCCCTCTTCCAAAATGATTCTAGCCTGTGGTAAGATGACGAAAGAACTAGCCAGCACAGCCTCCTCTCTGAGTCCTGACCCAGGTATACCTTTTCCTTCTGTTGTCCTGCCCTCTTCTCCCAGATGCTGGCCAGAGCCTAAGCATACTTTCCCTAATACTCCGCCTTCCTTACTCTGCCTCTGAAGTTCCCTCCCCTTTGCCATCCAGTTCATGTCATGGCTGACTTCCATGCTTAACTCAAATGGCATGGCTCTCCCTCTCCCCTGCCTAGAAATCTATAATCAACATCTCTCTAAAACAAACATAAATAATAAAACCCTTCCCTTGGTAAGATGTCAACAACATCCACCCCTCCTAAGGTCCTGGCAGGTATGATTCCACCAGCATTCACTGGGGCAAAACAATGAATCTGAGGCTTACTTACAGAGCTGTGGGTGAGTGGTTATGGACAGAAGTGGATAAGCTTTTGTGCCCTGCCATGTTCTATTTTTTTAATTATTATTTATTTATTTTTTATTTTTCGGGAATAAAGTTTGCTTCTGGTGTAGTAGACTTTGGTGGTCTGTT